TTTATTGAAGACTTTTTGTGTCTCTATTTTCTTTAGTTCTGCTCTGATTTTAGTTATTTCTTGTCTTCTCTCACTTTTGAATTTGTTTGCTCTTTCTTCTCTAGTTGTTTTAATTGTGATGTTAGGGTGTTGATTTTAGATCTTTCCCACTTTCTTCTGTGGACATTTAGTACTATAAATTTCCCTGTAAACACTGCTTTAGCTGTGTCCCAGAGATTCTGGTACATTGTGTCTTTGTTTTCAACGGTTTCAAACAACTTATTTATTTCTACCTTAATTTTGTTATTTACCCAGTGGTCATTCAGGAGCAGGTTGTTCAGTTTCCATGTAGTGCAGTTTTGAGTGAGTTTCTTAATTCTCAGTTCTAATTTGATTACCCTGTGGTCTGAGAGACTGGTTGTTATGATTTTTGTCCTTTTGCATTTGCTGAAAAGTGTTTTATTTTCAATTATGTGGACAATTTTAGAATAAGCACAGTGTAGTCCTGAGAAGAAAGTACATTCTGCTGATTTGAGGTGGAGACTTCTGTAGATACGTGTTGGGTCTGCTTGGTCCAGAGCTAAGTTCAAGTCCTGAATATTCTTGCTAATTTTATGCCTCATTGATCTAATATTGACAATAGGGTGTTAAAGTCTTGCACTATTATTGTGTGGGAGTCTAAGTCTTTTTGTAGGTCTCTAAGAACTTGCTTTATGAATCTGGGTGCTCCTGTATTGGGTGCATATATATTTAAGATAGTTAGCTCTTCTTGTTGCATTGATCCCTGTACCATTATGTAATGCCCTTCTTGATCTTTTTTGATCTTCGTTGGTATAAAGTCTGTTTTATCAGAGATTAGCATTTGCCATCTAGGACATCAGGTCTTTCTGGTCTATTTTCAATATTTTCCTCAATATCCACATCTAAACAATTTTTTGAGGCCAGCATCATCCTGATACCAAAACCTGGCAGAGACACAATAAAACACATTTTTTTTCAGGCCAATATCCCTGATAAACATCTATATGAAAATCCTCAATAAAATGCTGGCAAACCGAATCCAGCAGCACATCAAAATGCTTGCCCACCATGATCAAGTTGGCTTCATCCCTGGGATCCCAGGTCGGTTCAACATACAATAAATCAATAAATGTAATCCATCACATAAACAGAACCAGTGATAAAACCCACATGACTATCTCAATAGATGCAGAAAAGGCCTTCAATAAAATTCAACACCCCTTGATGCTAAAAACTCTCAATAAGCTAGGTATTGATGGAATGTATCTCAAAATAATAATAGCTATTTATGACAAACCCAGCAGGGCAATCAGGCAAGAGAAAGAAATAAAGTGTATTCAAACAGGAAGAGAGGAAGTCAAACTGTCTCTATTTGCACATGACATGATTATATATTTAGAAAACCCCATCTCCTCCCGCAAAATGCCCTTAAGCTGATAAGCAACTTCCGAAAAGTCTCAGGATACAAAGTCAATGTACAAGAAATCTCAAGCATTCCTATACACCAGTAAAAGACAAAGAGCCAAATCATGAGTGAACTCCCATTCACAGTTGCTACAAAGAGAATTAAATATCTAGGAATACAACTTACAAGGGATGTGAAGGACCTCTTCAAGGAGAATGAGAAAACACTGCTCAAGTAAATAAGAGAGGACATAAACAAATGAAAAAACATTCCATGCTCATGGACAGGAAAAATCAATATTGTGAAACAGGTCTTACTGCCCAAAGTAATTTATAGATTCAGTGCTATCCCCAACAAGCTACCGTTGACCTCCTTCACAGAATTAGAAAAACTGCTTTAAATTTCATATGGAAGAAAAAAAGAGCCCATATAGCCAAGATAATCCTAAGCAAAAAGAACAAAGCTGGAGGCATCAAGCTACCTGACTTCAAACTGTACTGAAGTCTACAGTAATCAAAACAGCATGGTACTGGTACCAAAACAGATATATAGACAAATGAAACAGAACACAGGCTTCAGAAATAACGCCACACACCAACAACCATCTGATCTTTGACAAACCTGACAAAAATAAGCAAAGGGGAAATAATTCCCTATTAATAAATGGTATTGGGAAAACTGGCTAGCCATATGCAGAAAACAGAAACTAGACTCCTTCCTTACACCTTACACAAAAATTAACTCAAGATGGATTCAAGACTTAAGTGTAAGACCTAACACCATAAAAACCTTAAAAGAGAACTTAGGCAATAGCATTCCGGACATAGGCATGGGCAAAGCCTTCATGACTAAAACACCAAAAGCAATGGCAACGAAAGCCAAAATAGACAAATGGGATTTAATCAAACTAAAGAGCTTCTGAACAGCAAAAGAAAATCATCAGAGTGAAGAGGCAACATACAGAATGGGAGAAAATCTATCCATCTGACAAAAGGCTAATATCCAGTCTCTATGATGAATGTAAACAAATTTGCAAGAAAAAAACAAACAGTCCCATCCAAAAGTGGGTGAAAGATATGAACCAACACTTCTCAAAGGAAGACATTAATGCAGCCAACAAACATGAAAAAAAGCTCATCATCACTGGTTATTAGAGAAATGCAAATCAAAACCACAATGAGATACCACCTCACACCAGTTAGAATAACCATCATTAAAAAGTCAGGAGGCAACAGATGCTGTAGAGGATGTGGAGAAATAGGAACACTCTTAGACTGTTGGTGGGAGTATAAATTAGTTCAACCATTGTGGAAGACAGTGTGGTAATTTTCCAAAGATCTAGAACCAGAAATACCATTTGACTCAGCAATCCCTTTACTGGGTATATACCCAAAGGATTATAAATCATTCTACCATAAAGACACATGCACACATATGTTTATTGCAGCACTATTCAAAATAGCAAAGACTTGGAACCAACCTAAATGCCCATCAGTGATAGACGGGATAAAGAAATGTGGCACATATATGCCATGAAATACTATGCAGCCATAAAAACGGATGGGTTCATGTCCTTTGCAGGGACATGGATGAAGCTGGAAACCATCATTCTCAGCAAACTAACAGAAGAGCTGAAAACTAAACATCACATGTTCTTACTCATTAGTGGGAGTTGAAAAATGAGAACACATGGACACAGGGAGGGGAACATCACACACTAGGGCCTGTTGGGGAGTGGCATCTAGGGGATGTATGTAACAAACCCACACATTTTGCACATGTATCCCAAAACTTAAAGTATTAATAATAAAATAAAATCTAAAATAAATTCCAAAGCAGAACAAGAAAGAAATCCTGAACTGCCTAATAGCAAGCAGTGAGATTGAATCAATAATAAAAAAATCCTCCAACAAGTACATGCCCTCGAACAGATGAATTTTTAGCTGAATTCTACCTGACATTCAAAGAAGAATAAATACCATTTGTACTAAAACTATTCCAAATGCTGGCAGGAGTGGGGAAATGGGCAGTTAGTGTTTAATGTGCATAGAGTTTAGTTTCAGTTTTGTAAAAAGAAAAAGTTCTGCAGAGTGGTTGCACAACAATGAATATACCAAACACTACCGAACTATACACTTAAAAATGGTTAAGATGGTACATTTACATTGCATGTGTTTTACCACATTAGAAAAAAAACCTATCAGAGGAGCTGGGAAACTGGGTTATTTACACACCAGTGCTTGTCAGTCATTGGTTGAGGGATGCACCCAAATGTTGATTCTCCCACTTTATTTTGGGTCTGTCTCAGACACAAGACAAGTGGGCTTTTTTTGGCCTCAGGAAGCCCACACACAAATAATTGAGAGGCAGGAAGTCCCAGGAGTTGGCAAATCGGGCTAGCATGCATCAATGGTAAGAGAAAAAAAAAATTAACGTGGTGCGACTCCCACAATGTATAAGGGAGTAGAACTTAAGAAGCACCAGCCAAGCACGGTGGCTCATGCCTATAATTCCAGCACTTTGGGAGGCTAAAATGGGTGGATCACCTGAGGTCAGGGGTTTTAGAACAGCCTGGCCAACATGGTAAAATCCATGGGCCTGTAATCCCAGCAACTCTGGAGGCCGAGACTGGATAACTGCTTGAACCTGGGAAGTGGAGGTTGCAGTGAGCCTAGGCAACAGAATGAAACTCTGTCTCAAAAAATAAAAATAAAATAAGAAGCACCACATCAGAGAGAAAAAAACTGGTGTGAAAATTATAGTAGAAAGACCTTGGGTTTTGTGTTTAGACCCAGTTACATAAGTCTAAAATCTAAAATCATTAAAACTAGCTATGCGACCGTGGGACATTTTTTCTTTTCACTTCTCTCCGCCTGAAGCTTGCATCTATAAAATTGGGATGATAGTACCTACAGTAGGCAATTGTCATTTTGGTATGCCATGGATACAGACTTGTACCATTTGGGGGACTTCATTTTGTGTCTGGAAGGAGAGCAGAAAGGTAAATATGAGATTTGCATCTTTTCGTGTGTCCTGGACTGAATGGCGCAACCCTGAAGTGGCTCATTGGATGCCCCTGCCTTGGACTCTCTAGGTTAAGTGAATGGGTCAGATACAATGGAATGAGGGAGAGGGGATTCTCAGTTGGAGTGGAGGTGTCTCAGTGTCAGCATTCACAGGGGTGGAGGGCTACAGATGTCTCTTTGTTCTCTGCCCAACAACACCTGTTGTTTAAGAGAGGCAGAGGTGAATTCTGTTGCTGATACAATTCCCACCTCCTAGGGGAGTTTGGAGATTAAGTGAAATTAGATGTGTAGGGTATTTTGCACAGCTTCCGGCAGGGAATGGTAAGGATCCTTCCTTTCCTTGACAACACAGACATTTTGTAACAGGACTGCACCTTCTCTTATGAATGCAGACTTCTTGCTTTTTCCCTTTCTTGTCTATCCATCATGCGCACTCCACCACGAAGAATACTTCATGGATTCTTCCAGGGAAAACGAAAAGGTAAGCATTCATAGAAGTCTGTTCCGGAGTTCTGGTCTGGCAGAGAACGCGGAGAGATGCAGGGCACCGCGAGCTCCCCCTGGGCCCTCCAGGCCCTCCGGCCCCGGGCTGGCGGGTGAGCTGCAGGGCCCCGGGACTGGCCGTACCTCTGCCCTTCAGACACCGGAGGCCTCCGCTGTGGCTGCCCATTGGCCTGGCCGGGCTCAGGCTTTGAAGCCGTGGTGAACCTCTGTACCCCACCCAACTTCGGTGATTGATGGCGGCGATGGCTTCTCCCAGCCAATACCCCAGCCTGGACGCTGCTGGCCACTGGGCCTCCTGGCCCAAGTGTGCCGGGCCTCGACAGAGCCCCAGCTGAGCTGCCCGGATGCAACGCCTTTGGGTGGCGGCGGGAGGGGCGGACCAGGAACCATGGTGGCCACTCGAATGCTGCACAGCGAAGGCCGTTAGGTCACAGAGGGCCTGGGAAGGCGGCCTAAGGACGCAGGCAGGCTCGGCTGCCTCTTTAGGCCATGGAGCCGTGCAGATCCGGTTCCCCAGTGATGACTCTGTCCTCATTGGGCGAGACCTACCTAGGACAAAGGCCTAAACAGGCCTGGGAGGTGAGTGAAGTTCCGAACCACGATGGGTGGAACGGTTAACGGCCATCGGGCTGTTAGTCTTCATTCTACCAGACCTTGCTGTCAGAAGAAAGAAACGGTAGAATGACAGGCCATGTTTGGCCCATTGGAAATGCCCACCACCCTCTGGGAAGATTTACTGGCCGTTTATGGAAGGCCTGTGTATAAAATATGAAAAAGCTGCTCTCAACTCCACCCCAACCTTTTAATAGAAAACGTTTGTCACATCTAGTCCTTCTAGATGTGAAGAGGTTGCCGAAGTATGATAAAGTAGAGTTAGAAAACCACGCATCTTGTAAATTCTCATTTGTTTAAAAGAAATCATAGAAAATACAGATCTTCTGGAGATGACTTTTGTTAGATGGCCTCTGGAAGCGATAGGTCCATGTTTGTTCAGTGGGTTAGATGATGTGGAGCTGGAAGACCTGAGGAGGAGGAGAAGAAGGTTCTATGCTAGACTGGTCATATTTAGAAGACATTTTTATATTCTAGCCATTGTTTTGTGTGCATTTTATTCTTCACTACTGTATATATAGTTGACAATGCTAAACTTTTTTGAAACGTCTGTTTTCAGATGTTCTGAAGTGCCTGATGTTAAAATTAGAGGTAGTAAAATCACATTTTGTAAATATCTTTTTGTTACAGTTTGTAGGAAATGTTTTTTTGGGGGAATGGCCTGTTGAGTAATACTCACTGTGTACAGTGGTTCAGGGGAGGAGGAAAGAAGGGGAGGTGCAGAGAGTTCTATGTCACCCTGCTTACAGCAAGGCAAGATGAATTATTATCTCTGTGCATTTTGTTTTACTTGCCTGTGTATATAGTGTACATAAAGGACAAACGAGTCCTAACTTTAACAACATCTAGTCTTTCTAGATGTTAAAGAGGTTGCCAGTGTATAACAGAAGTAGAGTTAGTAACCTAATGTTTTGTACATTTTGTTTTACAAGACTAGGAAAGATTGTCTGCTGAACATCTGAGCATTCTTGCCCACTGGGTTGATGGAGATGGGAAAGGTTCTAGGCCAGAATGTTCACAAAGTGTCAACATTCTCTTTGCTAAAACATAAGAAGAGTCACCTTTTCTTCAGTTCATCCTCATCTTCGTCTGAGAACACCTCAGCCTGGACCTTATTCTTCATATCACTATCAGCATTTTTGCTGAAGCCATTCAACAGGTCTCTAGGAAGTTCCAAACTTTCCCACATTTTTTTATCTTTTTCTGAGCTCTCCAAACTGTTTCAACTTTTGCTCATTACCCAGTTCCAAAGTCGCTCTCACATTTTTGGGTATCTTTTCAGCAGTGCCCTACACTAGTGGTACCAAATTATTGCATTAGTCCATTTTCATGCTGCTGATAAAGACATACTCAAGACTGGGCAATTTAAAAAAGAAAGAAGTTTATTGGACTTTCAGTTCCAGGTGACTGGGGAGGCCTTACAATCTTGGTGGAAGGTGAAAGGCACATCTCACATGGTGGCAGACAAGAGAAGAAAGGTTGTGCAGGGAAATTCCCATTTTTTAAAAACTATCAGATCTTGTGAGACTTATTAACTGTCACAAGAACAGCATGAGAAAAACCCACCCTCATGATTCAATTATCTTCCACCATGTCCCTGCCACAATATGTGGAAGTTATGGGAGCTACAAGATGATATTTGGGTGTGTACACAGAGCCAAACCATATCACTGACTTTTTTACTTAGTTGAGATGTCCAATCCATGAACATAGTATGTCTTACCATTGAAGTATTTGTTAACTTTTTCATAAATTTTGTGTAGTTTTGAGCTACTAATAAACATCCTGTGCATGTTTTATTAGATTTATACCACAGACTTAAACCTAAAATTTCGGGATTTTTGTTTTGTTTTGTTTTTGAACTTTGATGGATAGTATTTTGTTTTAAACTTGAGTTTCTAATTGTTCATTTCTAGAATATAGAAATACTATTGATTTTCTTTTCTTTTTACTTTGTTTCCTACAATCTGGCTAAACTTACTAACATACTGGGAGTACTTTTGTAGAGTCATTGAGATTTTCCATGTAAATTATTTTTTAAATTCTTTACTTAATGTCCCACATAGTTAATTTCTTAGAGAAGTGAGAATAAAATAGCACTTGATTCCATCACTGAACATATTCTCTTTAAGAAATGGACAACTGAGATTCAGAGTCTTAGATTCATATAGAAGAATATGACAATAGCTAGGATCAGAAGAAACATCTAAATATTAGAATACTTTTTATTCACAGTGAATATGAGAAAAGGATGGATAAGCTCAGTAATACCTGGGTTCTTTGAAAGTGAATGAAAGCAATAAAGTAATCTTTCTAACTCTTGTGAATGGCCTATTGTACTCTATGTGTTTGTTTCCAGATTGGGCCATATGAGATGAGCAACTAAACTATCACACTACACTTAAATACTAAAACTTAAAGCCACTGAGGCGTTTTGCTCTTGGATAGAATATATTGTATTTGAGTTGTGGTAAGCTATTGACTGTAACCTTACACTTAAAAAAAAGTCTTCTTGGGCCGGTCACGGTGGCTCATGCCTGTAATCCCAGCACTTTGGGAGGCCAAGGCGGGTGGATCATGAGGTCAAGAGATTGAGACCATCCTGGTCAACATGGTGAAATCCCGTCTCTACTAAAAATACAAAAAATTAGCTGGGCATGGTGGTGTGTGCCTGTAATCCCAGCTACTCAGGATGCTGAGGCAGGAGAATTGCCTGAACCCAGGAGGCGGAGATTGCAGTGAGCTGAGATCTTGCCATTGCACTCCAGCCTGGGTAACAAGAGCGAAACTCTGTCTCAAAAAAAAAAAAAAAAAAAAAAAGTCTCCTTACTGCATTATAGAAATTCAGTACACAGGAAATGGGTTCTAAAAGAATTGGTATTAGTCCTTGCTGAATAAATTTAAGTAAGTAACTTAGAATGGTACAATATATTTTATTTTATATGTATATTTCATAGATGTTCATAATTCAATGAGATAGGTGTCATCATTTCAATGTAACAACTTAGGACCCTTGGCCTAGGGGGTTTATCTTGTTCAAGACCATATTACTAATAAGAATCCCAATGAAGATGTGTACCCAATGGCTGTTGAACTCTAAAGCCCATGTATTTAACTACTAAACTATAGAAAGTTCCAAATAGCAGAATAAAGAAGTTAATGAAGTAAAGCAGGACCACAGAGGAGAGATAAGAGGGACCATTTGCTACACAGGCATATTCTAGCCTTGAAAGAGAGTAGAATTACCTTTCAGGGGTAGTTCATTGATTTTCTGCAATTATATTGTAAACGATCATTAACAGTGAGACCATAGGGAGACACCTTAATGCTTTTAAAAAACAGGTATTGGCAATGTATTGTAATTTAATTTTAGTGGTCATAGATAGAACTGGGATTTTAACTAGCAAGATAGTTTTCTCCAACTATTTACAGAAATTTCCACTGAAGAGAAATGATGAAAGACACATTCAAGTATTCAGGGGGAATAGGAAAATGGAAATTTTATTTTCTATCTCAAAGAAGTAGAATTGGGGCTAAATTAAGAGATGTTCCAGCCACTGTTTTATTTTGTTTTGTTTTACCATATTGCAAAAATTAGTAGGAACAAAAAGAAACATTGAGTGAATAATGTATGCTGCCAACAATCTTTTAAAGTAGATGTTCATTTTATCTTGAAGATAATGCTCCAAGAGGTGATTGAACTTATTTACGGTTTCACAGCCAGTAAACTAAAGCCTTGTTACCCAAGTCCAGGCTCCCCTGATTGCAAATAGTTGCTCCATTTAATACATCATGCTGCGTCTCAAAGAATAACAAAACTTATCCTGATTTTGATTCTGAAGAGTGTTTACCAGTATGTTAAAGGAACTATATAATGTATAAGTTGTGTGTCATTATTACCACTGACAAATCCAATGAGTCATCAGCAGCCTTAACCTGGTAGTGTAACTGTTCCTGCTATGGTTGTCTTGTTTGCCTTCTATCCAGAGTTTTGGATTAAATATTCATTCACCATTAAAATATTAATGCAACCCCACTGTTTCTGTAACAAATATTAATTTCTTATGGTATTTCCAGGCAATGCATAAGTTATACATTTTATATTCCACAGGAAACTGCTCATTGTCTGGCTACTTTTGCTCCCAATTCTGTTCACTCCTCTTGGTTGCAGGAGTCTGGAAAAGAGCAGGAGAGGAGAGGTGGTTGATTTGCGTATGAAGCCCCTGACCAGTCATGGCTTTCCCACCATTTTGCTGCTGTGTTCTTTTTGGTCCAGGAAATCCTCCCACCAGCAATTCAGGAAGCCTCTGGGAAAAAGCTAAAGAAGACCACTGTGATTAAAACCCACTCAGTAGGTACAACTTTTAGAAATCACTGAGTGTTGGGATTTCAGGATGGATTGTTCATCCTCTTTCATTATCTTAGCCTCATCACTTTTCTTTTCTCCAGACAGGAATGCCTTTCTTTTTTCAGCTTTGATACTTTCTAGCTATTTCCTTATTAGAGGGACATTATATTCACGTTTTGGAGAAAGGTGACAATTCATAGTGAAAGGGATCTCCTCTTATAGTTTCCGAACGTTTTCTTTGCAAAATCGATGCTCAGAATTATCCGGTGTTGCTTGTCAAAATGTAGATTCAAAATGCAGATTGGTCCATTAGAAAACTCACTCAATCAGAATCTGGATTTGGGGTATACTTAAGACCTAGAAGATTACAATGCATCCAAAACCTGAGAAACTTCAGGGTATGTATTGAATTAACTAGGCTTGGTTCAGACAAATTTGGATTCAAATTTTAGCACCACTCCTTATGCACTGTGTGACTGGGCAAGTTAACTTTGTAGCTTCCCTATTGATAAATTGGAATAAAAATAATAATACTTCAAAACGTGACTGTTATAACTGGATGAGATACTACATAGGAGACATTTAACATAGCACATGACACATAATAAATGTATAATAATGATATTTATTAATAGTATTGATAATATCAAACTTTTAGGTAAATAACTTGGCAAATCCCAACCTCCATATGGGAAAATGATGTCATCCAGCCCTGTGTAGCTCCTTCTCCATCAACCGAGAAATATTTCTGGGATCTGAGGAACTTACACTAAGCAATGAGGCAATTTCAAAGGGAGACAAGATACATAGGCCAAATCACTGGAGCCCAAGAAAGCCTAATAGAAGACCCCAACATGTTGTCTATAAGGCTTATGGTTTTCAGAATTAATTCATATTGTGGCAGCTGAAAGAGAATTCCTTCTTGAGAGGCTATGAAGGAGGCTTATTAATTGGGCAGTTTCCCATGACTATTTCAGGTCTTTGAAAGTTGCTTCTTGCCCAGTACCTGCCCTTGGCACATCTCAGAAGTGGAGCTCACTGGACTTTGCTGCTCTATCCCAGCACACATTAGGGTTCATATAGGGGTTTTCAGGGAAAAGTCTTGTAATTCTAGAATTTTAGGACTTTAAGTTCAAATATAACTAGGCAGAAAACTTGATTCTGTATTTTTCAGCTGGATACATGGACAAAGTCATTTAACCTTTCAAGTTCTTAGTTTCTGCACTTTAAAAATAGTTCATGATATAAGAATTAAAAAAGAAGACATAGGCAAAATGCCAGGTCATACTAGCCATACGCTTTTCTTACTTTGGTTTGTAATTTTTTTCCTTTGGTCTATACTTTCAATATTTTTTTCTTGCAATTTTTGCCAAATAATTGCTATAATTCATCTTTTACTCTTTCCATTCCCCTCTCCTACCTGAATGCATCAACTTCTCTGAGTAGAGAGATAACTCTTTAAGCTGGGAGACCACAAAGCTTAATACTACTTGCAGTCAGAGCTGTACTGAACAAAACTTTGTAATCACCTATATGTCTGCTTTATTCAATAGTTGCTACAATTAACACCCTCCCTTTCAAATGAATAGATATTAAGAGGGTGAATTGCTTTTAAGTTTGCTTGGAGTTTCCAGTGTGCTGTGGCTATAAAACCAAACTATTCCAAACTAGGACATGTTAATAGAAATGGAATGCTTCGAGCAAGAGACTGGTTTTATCCTAATTCAGGCTGGTCAATCCACACTTAGAATGGCATGTCCAGCTCTGGGAATTATACTTTGCTACCAATATAGACAAAGAGTAGTATGTTAAATAGAGAATAATTTTGACAGTGAAGTGATGACGTAAAACAAACCAGATAAGAACAAGCAAGAAATTTGAGCCACGAAGGGATAAGATGATGAGGAATGAACTAAGATGTGATCATTGGCATCAAAAACCTAAAAACTGGGATTCAGTGTATCCTATGAAACTACAAATGAATAGAATTAGATCCAGTGATTACATTTCACAAAGATACGTGGGATTGACTTGGTGAGAAACAACTTTCTAATAGCAGAGGAATCCTCAGATGGAATTCGCTGGTCTACAAGGTAGTAAACTCCCATTTCTGCAAATGTTTATGGGAAGAATGTTATCCATGTCAACATTTCATTGGAAATGACATTAAGCAACTTAAAAAATTCCTGAGATTCTATGAATGAATCATAGAGATACTGTGTAAGCAGGAAAACATTTCTCAAAGTGTGTTCCTCAGAATAGGCATGTTTTAATGTAAGGGTTTTACAATCAAGTAAGTTTGAAAAATGCTTATTTGGCTTGGTTAAACACCTTTCTAGAGCATTTATTTAGTTAATGAGTACTGTGAATCTCCAAAATTGTACAGGCTATATAAAAAGTTTCCAAAAATTGTTTGGTCACGGAACCCATTCATTTACTATGCAGTTTTTCCAAGCAGAACATCTCATAATGCTAGCGTATGGTAAGCACTTGTGTACTATTGCAGTGGTAGAGTAGGCTTTAGAGTCATAAAGAAATAGGCTTAAATCATGGTTCTTTCATTGACTACCTATCTATTTTTGGACATGTTACTTTCATTTCTCTGCCTCCTTTATCTCTTGTGCAATACCTACAAGATCTGAATGATGCAGAGCATAATACTTCCTCATTGCAAGAATATTACAAATGTTGACCATGACCATCATTATCATCATAATCATCAATATTCCAAACAAATCTGATAGGGGTTCTGCTTCTACTGTAGTCTTTAGAGTCATTTGAGATTTAATGGAATAAAATGTTCACGACATTAGTTTTTGGAAGTGAACTTGGAAGTATAAATTTAATTTTAAAATACACATGTGCCCTGACTTCTTCAATCCTTTTCAAGAAAGCTACCTTCTAACGTATTTGCCCAAATACACTAATATGCAAGTACATTAGAAAACTGTGTATAATATCAAAAAATGAAAAAAAAATTGAAATGTCTATCACTAGAGGCTTTTTAGCAAAACAAAACAGAGCAACACAAAACAACACTTTCCACTGTGGTATTCAATGTGGTCATGAAAAAGAATGACATCGATCTGTTGATGTTAACATGAAAAGATATGGTAAGTGATTGAGAACAGTAACGTTTTGGAACTCAAAGATGTTCAGAGACAGAAGCCTAGCTCTCTTGTTTTACAGTTGGGAAGATAATATCCATAATGGTAATTAACATCATGACATCAGAGATGTAAGCTAGCTATCAAGTGGCCAGGAAACTATCTGGTATATCTCCACTGCCCTTGTGTATAACAGTAGATACAAAAGGAGAGAAGCCCTCAAGATTCTTACCACCTCACTTTGCCCCACCAACTTCTGTGTAAATCAGCACCCAGCAAGTCAACATCTATGTAAATCAGCGCCCAGAAAAGGGGAAGACAACTTTTCTCACTAGTCAAGGAGACTCTACCTACTAGAAAGCACTCCTTATTTGTCCCCAGACAGGAAGAATGCTGGCTCAGTGGCCTTCTGGTTTGGGAATGGGAACAGACGGCTGTCATGTTCTGAAAAGCCCATTAACGTTCACTGAATTATTCAGTTTCTTCCTTGTTCCTTCACAGAGTGATCTGTCTTCTACAGATTCATTCAGTGCTTTCCAACTTTCCACTCTTCAAGAAGGAAGTCATGCTTTGTAAACTTTCCTGTATAGCTGAATGTGGAAGAAAATTCTTCCCATTTTATCCCATTCCATTTTATCCTATTTGGTCCCATTTTATCTTACTCCAATAAGCCATTGAGGTTCCAAGGTGGCTAGGCTGGGGTGGGAAAGCACTGATGCTAGGAATATACATTCAAGTTCCAACTCTCCCATCACTAACACCGCAAACTTGGACATGCCGCTTCAACTCCTGAGTCCAATTTCTTCTCCTCCAATTTTACAGATGAACTGTAATATTACTTTAACTCACATGGGTCTTTAGATAACTAAGTAGAAAGAAATATATGCAAACCTGCTTGTGAACAAAGAAGCACAAAACAAATTTTATATACATAGTACTTACTGTTACAACATCGAGGCATTGGAAGGAAATCCTTACCATTTGTCTAAATTTAACTTTTGTGAGTTCTGATACTTTGAAATAAAATTTAAAAAGCAGCAACTCATGTAAAATTGACTTCGAAGAATTTTAGATTTGAACAGACTATTCTCCTTAGCATTATAATCGGGGCTGCTGTATTTACTATCAGAGGCTGAATTCTGTAGCAGTCTAGAGCCAAGAACCCAGTATTGTGTCTCTACCTATTTTTTGGATATTAGTGTTTTCCTAAGCTACTGTTCCCTCAATCTCCTATTCAGCTTTGCCTAAGGGAAAAAAAAGACACTTAATGGAAAGAATATGTCACTTATCACTTATGTTTCAAAATACTCCTTTGAGCTACGAGGGTCATCTGGGAATTTGGCACATAAGAAAAAAAAAGGTTTGTCTTTGGCAGACAAACATGGGAATGAATAACAGGGACATAAATGTGATGAAGATTGAACAAGGAACAGTTGAGCAATTGAGTAACATGAGTCATTCTTACCTCATTCATATTTATTAACAATAATAATGGCCTGCAGAAGGGCTCCAGTGTGTCAGAGCTTTATTTGCATCATCTCATTTAATCTTCCTAATAATCCTGTGGTGTGAAGGTTAATTCTCACTTCTAAAGAAGGAGGAAACTGAGGATCAGACATATTGTGCAAGTTGCCCGATATTTCAAGATGAGCAGGAGATAGAGGCTTAACCAGGTTTGCCTAAATACAAAGACCTTTTGTATACAGCACACCAGTGTTTCTCCTTGGATGGACAGACTTCACATACCTTCCATGTTGGAATTGTGCTTCGCATATAATCAATGTCCACTAGATGTCCTTTGCTTATGTTGAGTTAGCATTGCTGCATAGCAGACAAAAAAAGCTAGAGAAAAGTAAGAAACTTCCGAATAAATCACATTGAATGATAAGAGGGTATAACCATTGCTGGTCTATAGATTATAAATCCCAATTTTTCTTCTTGTCTTGAGCATTAATATATTATATGACTTTGGGCAAGGCAATAAACCTCACTATTCATGTAATAAATGCATGTAAAACCTCAGTTTTCCTGCCTGTGAACAGGGACTCTTTTTCCTGCCTCACATATCTAGCTGGGTGGGTCCAGAGATCAAATGAGATGTCAGGACAAGAACTTGGCAATAGAAAGACATTGGTGTTATCATTGTTCTTTATGACTAAGCATAGGGTTTTGATATCTTTCTCTGGAAAATAACTGTGATAAACTCATATAAGCAGAGGGCTGAGAGGATTGTATGCAAAGACATGAATGGAGGGGAGTAGGTAGTGTGTGGGTGAACAAGATGAGTAATATGGGTACTGTGAGGCATAGGAAGTATTACAAGAGTTCATGGGAGACTGAATTCAATCCAGGATAACAAATCTGTAGGGTGAACTGGAGGTGAGACAGGTGATACATAGAAGTGGATTTTGGGAGAAATCAAAGATGGGATTGATTGACTCACTGTTGCACTTCTGGCCCCATCTCTTGGAACCACAAAGCAGGTGCTAAACCCAAGGAGTAGCGTGAGGCAGAAAAAAAAGTGCCTTTAGTAGAGTTATACTGGGAACCTACTAAGTATATGGGAATGGGAAGACAGTCAAGAGTAGCACTTACAAAGAGAATAGTCATAAGGACAAAGTGATGTTTTAAAAAGTGATTAAAACAGAGCATTAAATATAGTCAACATTTAATGAGTGGTAGTGATGATAGTGGTACTGTTCATTGGATGCTTAGGAAATATGAAAAATAGAAATGTATATAATGTAGCCCTGGACTTTGAGAAGGTTACAATAGGTAGGACCATTCGGGAAAGACTTGAGAGAGGGAGAAAGAAAATGGAACTCTGATAGATTGCTTACAAAATGGTTCTGAGCCTCCGTGTATTCCTGTATCCACATCCTTTGCAATGCTACTTAACAGCTTCCTCCATTAAGTGGAGTCTTTCTCTCTAACCCTCATATCTTTGGATTGGGATTTTGCTTTGCCAATAGAATGTGGCAGAAGTGACTGTACTAGCTTTGAATGTAGGTCCATGAGGTTTTACATGCATTTGCTTTGTCTCCTAGATCTTTGCCAGCTGCCATGAAGACAAGCCTAGGCCAGCTAGATAATGTAAGACACATGGTCAGTCAAGTGACCCATCTCCCAAGTTGAGAGACAATTGCCAAACAATGAATGAGGCCATCCTAGACTAGCCAGCCCCAATTGACCCACCAGAAGACACAAACACATGTGTGAGACCAGCTGAGATCTTCAAAGCCTGGACAGATAAGAACTTCCCAGAAAACCTAAAGACTTGTAGGCAGTAAGAAATTGTTTTGTTTTAAGCCACAAAGTGTTTGGGTAGTTTGGTATTTAGTCATGGATAACTGATACAGGGACTGTATTCAGTTCCTCAGTTCCTATATACCATCCTTCTATCATCATCGCAACTACTTTGTGAGATTTTTGCATCATGGGCCCCATTTTGCAAGTGAGGAAAGAAAGATTTAATGAAGTTAGAAGCAATGGACTCAAGGTCAAGGGACTAGAAGTGGTACAGTCAAGGCTTTACTCAGTCTGTCTGTTCCAAATTCTATGTAGTTTATACTATGTCACACTACCATAAGTATAGTGAAAAAAATGGCCTGTGGGTTGGTTGATCAGGGTGTTTGGCTTTGCGACAAGAGTTGGGTGAAGTGGAGACAGGAGAACAGGCCGTCCAGGAGTGGGGCTCCATGAAGGCCTGCACCAAAGTCTGAGCAAGAGAACCCCAAGAGTGAAATCAAGAAAGGTCAAGTGGGATGATTCTTGTCTAACCTTCTTAAATCATGAAAGGAAGGAAAAGTTGATCACCAAGTAAAAACAGGTCAGGAAACAAGGAGGGATTTCAGGAAGAAAGAATGACACAGGTGAGGGCTGGAAACATGGTGAATCAACATTCCCATCCAAAAATGATGTGACCTTAAGCGGGGAAGAAGAGAAATGGTTTAAAATTGGAATATCATAGGCAAACTTGGGACAACACAGAATTTCCAGTAGTTCCTCCCCCCACAAAACCCCCCTTGAAAGGAGAAAAACCTTTGGAAGAGAAGTCTGGAAAGAGCATTGTATCAGAGCCCAGGAAAATCTGTGTCTTGAACTATACCACGAAATCCTTCATACACCCTTACATTGTTTCTTTGTTCAAGATCCTTTCCCCTGCTGTGTAAGTAAGGGAATTCCTCAATGTTTTCTCTTTGGGATTGATGCTACTGCCGCTCATCTAATAATTATAACCACATGGTAGGATAAACCTTCTTCGCATATAGTAAAATCACACTTCTAATCTTTCTGTAGTTCAGTGAGACATGAGACTAGTCCCGACCAGTAAGTTGTAAAGATAAGTATTATGTGTCTTTTCCATGCCAGAATATTTAAGGGATAAACTGAAGACCCACCCATCAGAGGTCTTTATCCCTCTGGTGCAGGCACAACATTCAAGATAGTGGTTGTTCCATCAACTTGGTTTCCTAAGTGATAGTGTATAGGAGAGTTTCCCTGTCAACCAGTGATAAACTTTTGTTTTTTTAAACTACTGAGAATGGAGGTTGGTTGTTACTGAAGCAGACCCTACTTTCTTCTGAATAAGGAACCTTCTTCTCTTTGCTGGTCTAGATGAAAACTTATTAAAGTGTGTTATTTGTAACATCAGTCTTGAGAGGTTATCTACTAAAAGAATTATATTGTCAATAAACTCTGGGCAACACTACCTACCCTACTCTCATCTTAGAAAGTCTCTATAAACACTTTGGAGCAAATTGGATGATGCTATTCTAGAATCTGTCTTTGGCAAACGTCTATTCTTTGGGTTTCCAGCACTGCATGTATGCAGCTTATTTCTAAATACCTAACTCCTCACTCTTAGAGGTCCTCACATAGAATGTTATTCTGGCATTTCCAGTTCAATATGGAAGATCCCATGATCTTCCTGTAACTCAATCTGCTCTGTTTTTAATTCCTTTCACCGTATTACTCCAAAGACACTAAGACACTTTCTATATTCTGTATGTATCTACAGTTCAAAGCTCTCTAAAGTCATAAAATTAGTCCATCACTATGTATATTAACCCAAGCATGAAAAGTGGCTCATAATATGTGTTAATAAAGTTTATTAAAATGACTGGCCCCTGGGAAACACCTTAAAACTGTAAAGATGTTTATTCTGTCCTTTGAAATATGACATACATGGTAAATACATAGGTTTTAGAGTTCAGGAAAATTTGGTATGCTTTTCAGCTCTGCCTTCATATCTTGCAAACGTGGCACATTAATTTACCTGAGTTTTTTTGTGCAATAGAGATAAGAATATTAACACATAAGGTAGTAGATATTAAAGTATACCTTACAGTTTCAGCAAACTTGTAAAGAGTGCTTACAGTTTTAAGTTATCTTGTCTTTCCTCCTGAACAAATAATGATCTTTGCCAACATGTAAGTGCTGTTGGTAAAATTTGAGTTATTAATTTTCTATGAAGGTTATCTTTAATGCCATCTTAGAAAATCTCACTGTAATCAGGTCTTGACTGTGATTCTATTTTCTTAATACCTTCCGATTCTAGCCACATATTTCCTTCTCTCCTCAATATGTTGCCTCATTTCTGGGCATCATCATCCATCATTCGGATCCACCACCATTCTGACTGTTCCTTAACTGCTACTGGTCTTTTCATTAACCTATTCTCCACATTGCTCCCAGAGTCATCTTCCAAAATGACAACTAACTCTCCTGAGAACTTTTGAATGGGACCCCATTGCTCTTAGAATAAAGACCAAGCTCTCTTCATGGCTTGAATTACCAGAAGGGCACTTCAGAATATGCCTCTTTGATTCTGTTAGCCTTATCTCCTACCAGTCTCTTCTTTAAATCCAACATTTTAATTATACTGAACTGATTCGATTATGCAAACAGGCTGTATTTACTTGCAAATACTACGTCCTTTACCAGGGACACAATATCCTAACCCTTCATCTAGTCAACCTCAATTCATCCTTCAAGGTTTGGCTGAGAAACCCTGAAGAAGGTTTCCCTGTCCAAGAAAACTTCCCTCATTCCCATGGCACTCTGCTACACTCCAATATGTTCTATGCACCCTGATTAGAACGTGTATCAGGTTACTAGTTTGCCTCTCCCACTAGGAATTCTCTGAGGGCAGACAAAATACTTAAGTAGGAACCCAGTAGAGAGATGTGTTTTGAATGAATGAATAAATGTGTGCTTTCAGGAGCAGCAGCAGTCATTAGTTTTATTCATTGAATCGGTCACTTAATGCTTCTTGATCATGTGGCAGAATGTGCATTCTTGCCCCATTGTAGATGGGCAAGTAATTAGTTCTGGCCAACAAGACGTAAGTATCAGCTGTGGGTTGAGCATTTAATTGTCACTGTTAAGTCACTCCAGAACTCTTTATTCTTTGACACAGAGACAAGCAACATTAAAGTTGGTGGCTGCTCCATCAGCCTACATCTCATTAGGGACACATAAGTAAGAAGTTAATGTTTGCCATTTTCAACAATTGAGCTTTCAGGGTTGTCTGTAGCTCCAAAATAATCCACCCTGACTGACACAGAAGGTTTGAAGAAAATATGACCTAGTACAGTGAAGAAAGTGTAGAAGGAAGGGAAAATGATAGTGGAAATCAGGTCCTGCTTGTTGTTAAGTCTGAGAACTCTCTTGGGAGGTTAAGCAGCAGCTGCTTCTGGGTGAAGGTAAGCAGCACTTGTAGGGGACCCAGGGGCTTTGCAGCTTTGCAAAGGCATCTTTAAGGGTGGCTGACATTTATGATCAACATCAGGTTATGACTGGGCAAAGAAAAAAGAGTTTATACTGCATGTTCTTACGCATAAGTGGGTGTTGAACAATGAGAACACATGGACACAGGGAAGGGAACATCACACACTGGGGTCCGTTGGGAGTTCGGGGGCTAGGGGAGCGATAGCAGCGGGTGGGGAGGTTGGAAAGTGATAACATTAGGAGAAATACCTAATGTAGGTGAAGGGGGAGATGGATGTGGCAAACCACCATGGCATGTGTAAACCTATGTAACAATCCTGCAAGATCTGTGCATGTACTCCAGAATTTAAAGTATAATTAAAAAAAAAAAAGGAAAAGGAGTTTTAAGGCCATGATGACACTGGCATAAAACTTCCTGCACATAATATGAGTAATCTCTGTGACTTCCCTCTTTGTGGACTACTTTTTTTGTGTGTGAAGTAATTTTTTTATCTGAAGGTTTTGTTTGAAAGTTTCCATGTAGCCAGGAAGCAGAGCCAAGCCAGGCTGACTACTACTGGTGAGTATACCTGACATATGTACTTAATAATGCATTCTCTCTTGAGTAGACTGCACTACTGGGAAATCTTCATAGTTTACTGGGATGTTCTCTTGAGTTCATTCTTGTTGATGGCATGCAAGTATTGCATGGATCATGGCTTTTAGGAGGGATAAATTGCTTGCAATGCATTTTGCAAAGATAAAGTGTGGAGCTCAGAACTTATCTAAATAATTCCAGAAAGAAAATAGAAAAGATAAGATTAAAATCAGTATAACATTAAAGATAATCCTTGAAGAGTGCTATCGCCGGGATAGGCACAATGCTAAATGTTTCCCATGAATTTTGTCATTTATTCCTCCCAGTGACCTTATAATGTAAATATTATTTCTCATCCAGTTTTACAGATAAAATATAGAAGGCTCAGAAAGATTTAGTGACTTTCCAAAGGTCACACAGTAAAGTAGTGTTGGAGCCAAAGTAAAAATTGAGCAATCTGACTTCAGAGGTATGCTCTAGAGTACTTCATTACACTATGTCCCAAAGGAATAGAAATAGGCTAAATCTCTACTTTAGGTTAAGCACAAAGAAGGGAAATGTCCTTAGTCACAAAAAAACTTGTTTTTGGACAGAATAATTAATTTGCTAAAGATTTATAGGTGGTAGAGACTTCTTCTCATGTATTTAAAATTTTTTTTCCACTGTGCTGTTTTCTTTGGGGTCTCCTAAATTTCATCTCTTGCCTATTAATCTGGCAGGTCATTAGCCTAATTCTTCTCTTATGGCCAGTTCCACATGATTTTTTCAAACTCCAAAAATTATGCTTCTTAGGAAGTCCATTCATCATTCATTCAATAAGCATATTGAGATTTTTCTCCATGTCGGGGGGATAGAACTAGTTAGATAATGTCATGAAAGAGATCAAGAGGAAATACAGTAGAATTTTCTGAGGTCCTCCCAAAAACTTACTATCATGTACTTTAAACATATTATCTAATTTAATCTTCATGAATACAATAAGGTAGGTATCTTTTTTTCCATTTTATAGATTAGATAAACAAAGCTTAAAAAAATGAGTAAGAAGATTTGAAACTCAAGGTTTGCTGGCTTCAAAGTCAAGAGTCAATCCACCCTTCTAGTCTAGAAGAGACTGCTTTCTTTTTGATGTGTCATAGGTAAAACAGTTCCAAATGATGAGACACTGAGCTCCTAATACTGCATCAGAATCATCTGGTGTTTAGATTAACAGCTCAATTTCTGGGCCTCACACAGAGATTGCTGATTTGGGGTCTGTGGGGTTGAGTCTCAGAGATATGCACTGTAATGAGATTTTTCGATGATGCCCATGAACATCACCATAGGCATCTCATTATGTGTATGTCTTACAAGTGCTTTATGAAAGGAAGAGTGTAAAACCTCAGGAAAGAAAGAGTGAGAGGAGAGATCGTGACCTCAGGGCATGTAGGCAGAAGTGACCAAGACTGATGGTTTGGGCCAGAGGAGGAAGACGGGATGTGTTCATGTGTGTATGTATGTGTGCATGCTTTAATATGTATATGTTTATGTGTATGCACATATGTGTATGTTTGTGTGTGGTGCTAAAAGACATGAGATAGAAGAAAGAAAGGAGACTCCCATCTCTCGTTTGTTGGAGGTGTTCACACCCCTTTAATTTTCTCAAGAGAGTATTTGAACCATTCTATTCCCTAACTCATTTTTATTATTTTTCATCTCTTCATACTGGTTTATTTTTTTTCTAGCCTTCATTTTATCTCACTTTATCTATATTGCTTCTTAGTGTATCTACTATTGTCTCTTCCTTGTATAATATGAGCTCCATTTGGAGTTATGCTACTCTAATTTCCTAAGAAAAATTGCATCCAGAAGATGTTCTATTTAGAGGTAGTATGTGTGTAGGTTAGGTTTCTTCAATCAGATTGCCTGGGTCAAAATTTTGTCTCTATTTTCTAGTTATTTAATTGCTTGGTGGCCTTGATCCAGTGTATGTTGTCACACACACACACACACACACACACACACACACACACACACACATTCTTTGTGGCTGCCACCTAGGTTGATAGATATATATTTACTATCCATATTTGGTATTATGTAGTTTTGGAGATGTTAAGCAGTAAGCAGTATAGCCTGAAAATTGTCACCACAAACATCTAGTTTCAAACCTCACTTCCACTGTTTACTAGTTCCATGACCTTGAACGAGACTTCTAAACTTCTTAAGCCTTTTTTATTACAGCTAAAATAGAGATGATGCTATCTGAATCTCAAGTCTTGTGTATGTGTTAAAATAGACAATGCATGTTTAACATATAGCTCAATGTCTTGTATATAGTAGGTATTTAGCAATATTTGGCATCTTCATATAATACATCTCTATCAGAGATGTTTGAAAGAACATAAGGCTATCTGGGATAACTCTGGCAGTGAAAGAGTTACCTAAACAACAGCCCTGATAAGAAGGTGACTGATTATTTCATGAATTCCAGAAACAGAAAATCAATTTCTTGCTAAGCAGTATCTGGTATCAATTGACTTTTTCCATGTAGAAATGCAAATCCCTATATTGGAAGAGAAAACTCAGTTTTATTCTACAGCATCTGTATCTTTTTTTATTGGGCAATGCTTTCTCATACAGTGCCTGCTTTTCATTTGATGACAACTATTTTAGATTCTTGTTGACTATTCTGTGCATCTGCACCTGGGCACTGGTGCATCACCTGCATCATAAACTGAAATATTTAAATCTGCCGTCTAGCTCTAATACCTGACTTAAGTCCAGTTTGAAGCTGTTTCACAGTCAAAAGGGCACTATTATACAAACCTGTCTCTAATAAACAGAGGTGCCATTTGAGGTTTTTCTGTGTAGGAACGTTATTTCAGGCATTTTACATTTAATTTAATTTTCACATATCATCTTAGTTAATCCTCCCCGAAAGCTTTGCAAAAGATATTATTACCCCCTTTTAAGTTTAAAGTTAAATTTCTTCATTTAAGTATTGAGGAAACTAAGTGTTGGGGTGAAAGAGGTAGTAATGAATTGCAGAACAAACATATTCTGAATCTAAGTATGTGTGACTCCAAAATTCATGGGAGACAATGTTTTCTTGCCTCACTTTTTAAAAATTAGTGTTTACTATATTGAGGAATTCTCTCCTTTATTGAGTAATGGTTAAGACTACTCAAGGTTAAGTAAGTAATGGTTAAGATTACATATAACCAATATATGGTTAAGATGAATGTTCAATTTATTAAATAGAGTCTTAGTAAGCTGCTTAATTAGGTATTTTTAATCTGGGTGGTAGTCACAAAGCTGCTCTATTTGCAATAACTCATATTTTGTTCTGTGTGCTTTTTTGTATCTGCACACAGAACAAAATATGAGTTATTATAACAAAATAAGAGTTATTGTAAATAAAGCAGCTTTGTGACTACCACCCAAATCAAAAAATAGAACCTTGCCCATTACTCCAATAGCACTACCTGTGTTCTGTCCCAAATCAACTCTCTACCCCAATCACTCCCTTGCAAAACTAACAACCTTCCCGACTTACTTCTAGTCATCTTATTTTGTATTAGTCCACTCTCATGCATTAATAAAGACATACCTGAGACTGAGTAGTTTATAAAGGAATGAGGTTTACTGGATTCACAGTTACACATGACTGAAGATGCCTCACAGTCAAGCAGAAGGCAAAGGAAGAGCAAATGCACATCTTACATGACAGCAGGCAACAGAGCTTGTGCAGGGAAACTGCCCTTTTATAAAACCATCAGATCTTGTGAGACTTATTCACTATTATGAGCATAGCATGTAAAAAAAAAACTGTCCATGTGATTCAATTATTTTCTACCAGGACCCTCCCATGACATGTGAGATTATTACAATTTAAGGTGAGATTTGGGTGGGGACACAGAACCATACCTTATCATTATGCCCCTGGCATCTTCCAAATCTTACATCTCTTTCACATTTCAAAACACAATCATGCCTTCCCAACAGTCCCCCAAAGTCTTAACTCATTTCAGCATTAGCTCAGAAGTTCACAGTCCAAAGTGCCATCTGAGACAAGGCAAGTCCCTTCTGCCTATGAGCTTGTAAAACTGAAAGCAAGTGACTTACTTCCCAGATAAAATGAGGGTACAGGCATTGGGTAAATATACCCATTTCAAATGAGAAAAGCAGGCCAAAATGAAGGGGCCACATTTTAGACCATGCAGGTCTAAAAATCCAGTGAGTCAGTAAAACCTTAAAGCCATGGAATGATCTCCTTTGACTTCATATTTCACATCCAGGCCATGCTGTTGCAAGAGTTGGGCTCTCATGGTCTTGGGAGCTCTGCCCCTGTGGCTTTGCAGGGCACAGCCCCTGGCTGCTTTCACGGGCTGGAATTGAGTGTCTGTGGCTTTTCCAAGTGCATGACGCAAGCTGTTAGTGAACCTACCATTATGGGGTTTAGAGGATGGTGGCCCTCTTCTCATAGCTCCACTAGGTGGTGCCTCAGTGAGGACTCTGTGTGGGGGCTCCAGCCCCACATTTTCCTTCCACACTGCACTAGCAGAGGTTCTTCATGAAGGCCCCACCCCTGCAGCAAACTTCTTCCTGGACATCCAGGCA